TCCGCTTCAACTTCAGGGTATCCAACAATGAAGTTGAGTACGAGGCCCTCCTGAGTGACCTCAGACTCGCCGCCGGCCTCAAAGCACAACACATCAGAATCAGGTGTGACTCGAAACTGGTCGTGGGCCAGATCGAGGGCTCGTACGAGGCCAAAGAAAGGAGGATGAGGAAATACAAGCAGGCGGACGAGGAGTTGCTCAAGGCATTCGAAACCTATGAGATCACACAGATCCCGAGGGCGGGGAATGCTGAGGCCGACATCCTGTCCAAGCTCAGCATAGACACTCCAGAACACATCTCCACGATAGCCAAGGTCGAGGAGCTAAGCATGTCCAGCATCCATGCCAGCCCGGTCATTTACATTCAGCATCGGCCGGAGGACTGGATCACCGACATCACAACCTTCATGACTTCAGGAGAGCTGCCCCAGGACGAGGAGAGGGCCAAGTTGGCCAAACTCAGGGCCCCAAGCCACACCATCGAGAATGGAAAGCTCTACAAAAGATCTTACAACGGCACTCTCCTCTGATGCCTACACCCAGACGAGGCTGAAGTGGCCATGGAAGAAGTGCACTGCGGCGTCTACGCCTCACATTAGGGCCCTTTCAGCATGTCCCGGTGTCTCGTCGTCTAGGGCTATTTCTAGCCGACGATGGCACGGGATTGCGCCAATCTTGCAAGGAAGTGTACTGCATGCTAGGTCCTTCAGAAGGCCCCAGGTCGGCCAGCCGTTAATTACGCCCCCGGTCAGCACTGCTATCCCGTTCTCAAGATGGGGAATTGACCTGGTCGGCCCCCTGCCCAGAGCTGCCGGCAACAACCGCTACATCATCGTCGCAGTTGACTACTTCACCAAATGGGTTGAAGCGGAGCCTTTGGCCAGCATTACAGGGGCAAGGTGCCAGAAGTTTGTCCACAAGAACATCCTTACACGCTTCGGCGTTCCTAATGAAATCATATCCGACAACGGTACTCAGTTCGAGGCCGCACCCTTCCAAGAGCTCCTCCGAGAATGGGAATCAAGCATCGTTTCTCCTCCGTTGCCTACCCTCAAAGCAACGGGCAGGTTGATAACGCCAACAGAACCATAATGGAGGTTCTGAAGAAGAAGTTGCAGGACGCAGGAGGCAGCTGGGCCGATGAGGTCCCCAACATCCTGTGGTGCTACCGTACCATGCCGAGGAGGGCGACGGGTGAAACACCTTTTTCCCTTTGCTATGGCTTCGAAGCAAAAGCACCCACAGAGGTTGCCATCCCAAACTGACGGGTGGAGCAGTATGAACCAGAGGCCAATGAAGAGAACATGAAGATCGACCTCCACCTATTTGAAGAACGACGCGAGCTGGCTTTTATCCGGGTGGAGAATAACTGGCGTCAAGTAAAATCATACTATGACGCCAAGGTACGTTCCCGGGAATTCCAAGTGGGGGATTACGTCCTGCGCCAAAGGGATGCGAGCAAGCCGACGGAAGGAGGCAAGCTAGCCCTGAAATATGAAGGCCCCTACATCGTCAATGCTGTAGAGAAGTCCGGCACTTACAAACTTAAACACCCTAATGGGTCTAATGTACCATGAATGTGGAATGTACATCATTTGGTGAAGTTCTATCAATAATCTGAAGGAGGCGGAGTCGACAAAGCTCTCACCCCTTAACGGGTTATTGATCGATTGCCACCCTCGACCTCAAGCCACTTATCAATGAAATTGTATTCCCATTTTTGAGAATTCAACGTAAAAAATACTTGGTACTGCGTCGGTCCCCTTAGAGCGAAAGGCTCAGGTGTGGTTGGCACAACGCTTTGCACAAGCCTCCCTTAGAGCGAAAGGCTCAGGGATGACCAACATTGTACGTCGCATTGGCCCCCTTAGTGCGAAAGGCTCAGGTATAGCCGACAGAGCACATCGTATCGACCCCTTAGAGCGAAACGCTCAGGTAAGGCCGACGATGTCCCCAGGATGAGGGGCCCGCAAACGGCCCACTTCTTGAAATGGGAAGCTCACCGCATCGTTCACGCGCTGGATCGCAGGACGACAGGTCTGAAATCATAGCCGAGGTGACAACATCCCCAGACTTGGGATTGGGAAATGGCAGCCGTTGGATACCAGCCAAAAGCCTAGCCCACGTCATAAATAGACGATGAGACCTCCCCAAGACCATGGGGCGATCTAATAGGACGTCCCACCTGCCGGAGGACTATCGACCCCTTCGGTCGAAGCTTGAAAGAAGGATACCCACTCCTCGCTCAAAGAAGTAAAGAGGAAGAACATAAAAGAGGGATAGCCGAAGGACCGTGCACTTGCCGGCCCAAAGCGATATCCCCAAAAATAAAAGAGGGAAGCCGAAGGACCGCGCACTCGCCGGCCTCGAGCAACAAAAAATAAAATCCCCATAAAATACGCTAAGTACATATCAGGCAAATTTTATACATCATGGACGAAAGCATTCATAGCAAAACAAAAACTTGGACAAAATTTCCAAGGTAAACTCTAACGGCCGGCGAAGACACAAGATAGCCGGTGTATAACCAAAATGGTCCAGGGAAAACTCACTCAGCTGACTCAAGGGCGAAGTCCGTCATCAGCCATTCCCAGAGGAAGTAGCCACCTAACTCTATCCAACACTTAGAAAAATTTCAAAGAACTAGGGGAACATTCCCAAGGGGCACCAAGAGTGGCCGACAAGGCTCCTGAAGCCGAATAAAGGGCCAACAACCCTCATCGTCCACAACAGAATAAAGAAGATATATACTCTAATCTAAATACTTAGAAGTATTTTCACAAAAATGTGGGATGCCAAACTTCACAAGGACGAGGAAGACATCTCCCCCTCAGCCGAGCAAAGGGCAAGACCCCTCTTCGGCCACAACAAGATGAAACGAGTACATGATCACTCAACACTTAGCGTATTTTCTAAGTACGGATGGATAACAGGAAAAGGTACATAAGCCGGAGGGAGACACCAAGGCGTGCAAAATTGACCACCTATTATTTCCATTAAAGGAATAGTATGGACGAAGCATACACGCACAAGTAATCAGGATCAGACCCCTCATCGACCGTGATTGGAGAAAACAACTACCTAATTCCTTAAGAAAAATACTTAGAAAAAATTCAAAGTGAAACAACAAACCAACACAATAAGACGAAGAAGCCACATGCATATTTTCATTCACAAGTTCAAAATACAAGGGGGGCTTCATGGCCGTTACATTTTAACTAACAAAACAAGAATGGCAAGGGCGTATCATGACTCCGGTGGGGTCTTCAGGGTTTCCTCGTCTCTGACCCTTTTCTCGGCCTGAAGGGTGGCCCGTCGGCAGCAGCCCCATCGGCAACAACACCAGACGTGGCAGTGTCCTCGAAGATGCTCGGCTCGTAAGCCCACTCGTCACTGACTTGGGAGCTATCAACAGCATCCGGATCAGCAACCCCCGAGGGCTGACAACAAGCATAACCGAGGGCCGGGGGCTCCTCCAAATCACCCCAAGACTTCAGGACCCTCTGATGACCGCCCTCGGCAAGGCCAAGCCAAGCCCGAGGGAGTTTATAAGAGCAACCCTAAGACTTGGGCCCAGCCCATTCTCCTGGACCGCCCTCGGACGCCATTAACGCACCCCGTCAGCATCATCCTCGATTTTGCCGAGGAGAGGGGCCTCGTTGAGCGCGACTCTCGCGCACCCCCGGAGGTACACGCTATCAACCCTCAGTTCCCCTACTGTCGCTTCCATCGGCATCAGGGGCACAAGACCAATGACTGCCATCAGCTAAAGACGGCCATCGAGAGTTTAATACAAGCAGGGCACCTGTCCCAATTTGTCCAGAGCCCTCGGCAGGAGGGACCTTCTCATCAGGGACCTCCCCGAGGGCACCATACGAAGGTAAGTGCCTGGGTAAATCCGAACACCATCCCCCTCGGCAAGAAGAGGGAGATCGGAAACTTGGAAGAAGAGGAGGAGGAATACCCCCACTACCAGGAGAAAAAACGCCACATCCTCATGATCACCGGTGGCAATACAGGGGGCGATTCTACCAGCCAACGAAAGAAGTGGGCTCAATCGCTTTACGTGGGGGAAGTCACTCATATGCCCCTGGTAAAGCGACTGAGGGAGGAACCCATCACCTTTACCAACGCAGATCTCCCTCCTACTTCTCCTCCTCACAGGGATGCCTTGGTGATTCGGACGGAGATAAACGACACCATCATTCACTGAACTTACGTTGACACGGGCAGCTCCGTCAATGTAATGTACCTCAGCACCTTCAGAGAGCTGCATCTGGAGAGGGGGTCCCTTCGGCCCATTAAGACCCCTCTTGCCGGCTTCACCGGCGACACTATTGATTCCGAGGGGGTAATAACCCTCCCGGTGATCTTCGGCGACGGGCTCCATAGAGCCCAGCTCGAGGTGGAGTTCGTCGTCGTCAACATTGACTGCGCCCACAACATCATCCTCGGCCGGCCAGCCCTCGAGGACCTGGAAGCCATCATCTCCATGAGGCACCTCTGCCTCAAGTTTCCCACCGAGGGGGGCATTGGCTACTCCCGGGGGAACCAAAAAATTGCCCGCGCCTGCTATCTTCAGGTCACTAAGAAGGTAAGCAAGACGGAATTCCGTGTTGACACCATCACCGGAGCCGTCGACCAAGAGGAAAGAAGGCCGAGGGCTGAACCAGCCGAGGACGTAGAAGACTTTGCGCTCGATCCGGCCCAGCCGGAGAGAGTCGTGAAGATTGGAGCCCAGCTCCCTGAAGATTTGAAGACCGGTATCACCGACGCCCTCCGTGCCTACTCCACTGTCTTTGCATGGGGGCCGGAGGACATGCCGGGAATCAGCCGAAGGGTCGTCACCCACCGCCTCTCGGTGGACCCTTCGGCAAAGGCGGTACAACAACGAAGAAGACCTCTCTCCGCCGAAAGGAGGGAATTTGTGAAGAAGGAGGTCGCCATGCTCCTCTCTATTAAGCACATCAAGGAGGTGAAATACCCCTCATGGCTGGCGAATGTAGTCCTCGCACAGAAGCCCCCTACCTTCCGCATGTGCGTGGACTACACCGATCTCAACAAAGCATGCCCTATGGATCCATTCCCTCTACCAAACATTGATCAATTGGTGGATGAGACCGCAGGGTGTGAGATCATGTCCTTCCTCGATGCCTTCCGAGGGTACCATCAAATTTTCATGCACGAGGAGGACGCCGAAAAAACTGCCTTCATGACTCCCGAGGGCATCTTCTGCTACCTAGTGATGGCCTTCGGCCTAAAGAACTCGGGGGCCACTTACACCCGGATGGTGGCCCGGGTCTTTCAAGCCGTCCTAGGGTGCACCATGGAGGCCTATGTTGACGACATGATCGTCAAGAGCAAACAATCTTCCAGCCATGCTGACGACCTCCGGGAAATCTTCGCCATCATGCAAAAATTCAACCTTCGGCTAAACCCGAAGAAGTGCACCTTCGGCGTCCAAGGGGGCAAGTTCTTGGGTTACATGGTGAGCCGAAGGGGTATTGAGGCCAATCCCGAGAAGATCCAGGCCATCATCAACATGGAGCCCCCACGCAACGTGAAGGAAGTTCAACGGTTGACGGGCCGCCTGGCAGCCCTCAACCGTTTTCTATCTAAATCGGCGGAGAAGTCTCTACCCTTCTTCCAGATCATGAGGAAGACGGCTGGCTTTCTATGGACTCCAGAATGCCAGGGGGCTTTCGACGAACTCAAACGATATCTGTCTTCACCTCCTGTGCTCTCCAAACCCAAGGTAGGGGAGACCCTCTACCTCTACCTTGGGGTTAGCCCGGCGGCCATCAGCTCTGTGCTCATCCGGGAGGAAGACGGCATCCAACATGCCATCTTCTACGTTAGCAAGACCCTAAGGGAGGCCGAGCTCAGGTACTCCCCTGTGGAAAAAACGGTGTTGGCCATCGTTTGGACTGTCAAGAAGTTGGGCCACTACTTTCAGGCTCACCCAGTTCAGGTCCTCACTCATCAACCCCTCGGCGCCCTCATGAGGAGCCCCACCAGCTCCTCCCGCATGGTTAAATGGGCTATCTTCTTGAGCCAGTACAACATTGACATCCGTCCAAGGCCTGCCATCAAGGGCCAAGCCCTGGCGGACTTTGTGACGGAATGTACCGCAAGGGCAGCCACGGACGGGGAGCCCTCGGCTACCTCGGACGACTGGTGGACCCTCTACACTGATGGCTCCTCCGCGACCAAAGCATGTGGGGGAGGGGTAGTCCTCATTACTCCCGAGGGCTTCAGGGCCTACTATGCAATCCGCTTCTCCTTCAAAGTCTCCAACAATGAGGCCGAATATGAGGCCCTCCTATGTGGCCTTCGGCTGGCTGCCAACATGAGGGCTCGGCAGATCCACATCAAATGCGACTCCAAGTTGGTCGTTGGCCAAATCTCCGAAGAATATGAGGCCAAGGAGGGGAGAATGAAACAGTACAAGGAAGCGGCCAAGGAGTTGCTTAAGGTATTTGAGGCACACTCTCTCACTCAAATATCGAGGGCTCAGAACTCCGAGGCCGACATATTATCTAAGCTCTCGGCCGACTCCCCCGAGCACATCTCCAAAATTGCCAAAATCGAGGAACTCAGCCTCTCAAGCATCCATGCAAGCCCCGTTATGAACATACAACAACGTCAGGAGGATTGGATCTCAGATATCACCGCCTTCATCTCCACAGGGCAGCTACCCGAGAATGAGGCCCGCGCTAAACTGGCAAAGCTGAGGGCTCCTAGCTACACCATCGAAGATGGGAGGCTCTACAAACGATCTTACAACGGCACGCTACTTCGATGCCTTCATCAAGATGAGGCCGAGGTCGCAATGGAGGAAGTGCACAGTGGCACTTGCTCAGCTCACCAGGGACCCTTCTCCATGTCCCGAAGGCTCATTCTCCTGGGCTACTTCTGGCCGACCATGGCCAGAGATTGTGCTGACCTTGCCCGGAGGTGCACCGCATGTCAACATTTCCAGAAAGCCCCCGGCAGGCTAGCGGTCAACTATGCCCCCATCAGCACATCTGTCCCTTTTTCTCGATGGGGGATAGACCTTGTGGGCCCTCTGCCGAGGGGTACCTCCAAAAACAGGTACATCATTGTGGCCGTCGACTAATTTACCAAGTGGGTGGAGGCTGAACCCCTCGCCAGCATCACAGAGGCGAAGTGCCGTCATTTCGTCCTCAAGAACATCCTCACAAGGTTTGGCGTCCCCCAGCAGATCATCTCCGACAATGGGACACAATTTGAGGCAGCCCCCTTCTGTGCCCTTCTGGAGGCATGGGGCATCAAACACACCTTCTCCTCCGTTGCCTACCCTCAAGGCAACGGGCAAGTAGAGAATGCCAACCGGACCTTGCTCGAGGGCCTCAAAAAGAAGCTGGAGGCCGAGGGCGGTGGCTGGGTAGAAGAACTCCACAACATCCTTTGGGCCTACCGCACCACCCCTCGGCGAGCAACAGGTGAAACACCCTTCTCCCTCTGCTACGGTTTTGAAGCCAAAGCTCCTACGGAAGTCACCCTTCCCACCCGAAGGGTGATCCAGTATGACCCCGAGGTCAACGACAGCAACATGGCCCTCGACCTCCACCTCATTTCAGAACACCGGGAGCAGGCCTTCATCCGGGCAGAAAACTACCGAAGGCAAGTTAAAAGCTACATCGACTCCAAAGTTCGCACCCGAGAATTTCAAGTGGGGGACTATGTCCTCCGGAGGAGGGAAGCCAGCCAACCAACCGAGGGAGGAAAAATGGCACCAAAATTCGAAGGCCCCTACATCATAGCAGCCATCATCAAACCCGGGACCTACAAGCTCAAACGCCCCAATGGGAAAGAAGTCCCTAGGCACTGGAATGTACACCATTTAGTTAAATTTTATCAATAATGTAAGAGCGGCCAAGCCCTCATAACTAGTGAATGTACTATCCTGTGGCCCAAGGCCTCCAATTCGAAGAATGAAGATACATTCAAGACATCAAGCCCTCATACTGACTACAGGCCCCAGGCCTCACCACGAGAAGAACCCCCTCCGGCACCAAGTGCCGAGGGCGGACACCATCAACACCTACAACAACAGTGAAAACACCACGTGTTTTCAGTCAAGACCCCTCAGTACCAAGTACCGAGGGAGGATACTCTTATCACCAACAACAAGGAACGCCATGTGTTTCATTTCCCTTCGGCACCCAGTGCCGAGGGTACATCCCCACCTTCAACATAAAAAAAGAAAAGATGAGAACACCAAGTTTTCCTACAGAAGACCCTTCGGCACCCAGTGCCGAGGGTACACCTCCATCATCAAACATCATCAAAGAAGACCCCTCGGCACCCAGTGCCAGGGATATGTTCTCCTATCAACTTCCAAACATCTGTTGGGAAACACCAAGTGTTTCATTTGAAGACCCTTCGGTACCAAGTACCGAGGGTAGACGCCTACATCAACTACGACAAAAAAGAACACCAAGTGTTCCTACAGAAGACCCTTCGGTACCAAGTACCGAGGGAAGAAACCTCCATCAGCTACAACAAAAGAAAACACCAAGTGTTCCTGTAGAAGACCCCTCGGTATCAAGTACCGGGGGCTACACATCGAAACTAACACCAAGTGTGGTTTCTAAAAGCCGTACCCCACGAGGACGCATATACCGAAGGCGCCACCTTCGGTGCCGGCGGCACGTAGTGCCCCCGGCCATTTGCAACTAGTGTGCAAATGAAAACCCTTCCTTGAAACGCTTTCCGCGTCACTACCCCCAGGGTGTGACAGGCATGAGAAATGCCCAGGATTCGACTTTCAAAAACGGAACGCTATCCGCGTCACTACCCCCAGGGTATGACAGGCATGAGAAATGCCCAGGATTCGACTTCCAAACCGAAACGCTCCCCGCGCCACCACCCTAAGGGTGTGGCAGGCCACGGACTATGTCTAGCGCCGAGGGGACGACTTTCAAAAATGAGGCGCTTTCCGCGCCATCCCCCAAGGGGAGGCAGGTTACGGACCACCATATCTTGTGCCCAGGAAACGTCCCTCGATCCCCTCGGAACTCGGAAGGTTAACCCGAGGGAGGAGAGCCATTGGTGTATTCTGATGGTCTCCTAATAGGCCCAGCCTTACCAAGAAACCAAGTTTCTTGATGCCTTCGCTTCACCACCAACCAAAAAAAAAAAAAAAGAGGGGGTGAAGGGGAGTAGACTCAGCGAGAAATCAAAGAGTACACTCCTACAAGATCACAACATGCCGAGGGCTCCCCACGGGAACACCTCCGGTAATTGAAGACTCCTATTTCCCGGAGGATACTACTCAAAGAAATATCATCAGGAAACGGCTAAGTCCACTGCCTGGTCACCTCCGATCACAAAAACACCGAAGGCTTCAACAATACAAAGGGACTGGACTATCCAAGGTCCACTAAACGGTACTTCAAACAAACACCGAAGGCATCTGTTATGCACAAATATCGAGGGCCCTTTCCCAATGACAAGGGTCAAATTCTACAACTTTTAAAGTGTATGCCGAGGGCACACACTCCTCATTGGCTTTCTTCACAACAACAGGATTCAACATCAATTTATGCTTTGGAAAATTCTAAGTCCTGAAGGAGCAGCCCCCGGGCATCCCGCAAAGTAATGCAGAGTCAGATGGCACCTATCACCCGAAGGCTACACAAAGAAACAACACTTGCAAACAAAAAATTTTTTATGTCCTAAAGATGGGCCCCCGGCTCAGTCAGTGTTGCAGCTAGAGGAATATGACAGTCGAAGGCCATACATCAAGAAGGGACGCCATCTCCCGAAGGCTCCCAAGGGAAAATCCACACTTAGAATGTTTTCTAAGTCCTACATGTTTTTCCCCGGTCAACTACTCATACATCAAGGAGGGATGCCATCTCCCGAAGGCTCCCAAGGGAGATTTTGCACTTAGAATATTTTCTAAGTCCTACATGCTTTTCCCGGGTCAACTACTCATACATCATGGAGGGATGCCACCTCCCGAAGGCTCCCAAGGGAAACTCTACGCTTAGAAGATTTTCTAAGTCCTACATATTTCACCCTCATCTCAAGGGACCTAATTGCCGAAGGCTACCTATCAATCGATAGCTACAGTACACAAGGAATCAACACTCAAGAAAATTTTCTAAGTCCTAAAGAATTGGCCCCCGGCCTATTCGATATTTCAGTTGGGGCTCCACAGTAGCCGAAGGCTACATGACATACTACACTTGCAAAAATCTCTAAGTCCTGTGCATTGGGCCCTCGGTCCAACATTCACACACCAGGAAGGGATGCCATATCCCGAAGGCTCAAGGGGAAATCTACACTTAGAAATTTTTCTAAGTCCTAGGAGTTGGGTTACTACAAACGCCCGCAGGCCTCATGCTGTGCTACACTTAGAAAAAATTTTCTAAGTCCTAATTGCTGCTGAACCCTCGGTTGCATATCCAGCAGAGGGTGCCCAACTACCGAAGGCTTCCAAGGGCAAGCTACAATCGAAAAATATTCTAAGTCCTAGACATACATTCAGAAATACCGAAGGCACACACTCAAGGAAAACG